AATTTAAAAGGGGGTTAATTCGAACAAAACCTGATCTTTTCATTTCCTCAAAAATCCCGAAAATGAAAAGATCAGGTTATCGTTCGAATTAACCCCCTTTTAAATTCGAATTTAGTTATCAGACGAGGCGGAACGGGACAAATCCTGTAAATTAAAGTCTTCCGCTCGTCCGGTTTATTTCCACTTTCTCCCCGTGACTCCCCATGTGATAACGTCCTTAGCATGGAACAGAAGGCATGACTGGTTCAGAAGCCAAAGTGAAACAGCAATGTGATGGATGTACAAGTCTAGGGAGAAAGAATATTTCCAAGGCTATATCCAGAGATCTACAGGCTTCAAATTCTAAATAATGTCAGAATGTCAGAACAATTCAGAATGGAACAATCTCCTTAGGAGCTTAAGGAGCCCTTTTTTCTTGTCTTTTAAGAGATTATGCGAATCATACATGTTGCCAGTGCTTGTAGACATATGGTTGGCCTGTTTTTGTACCTGAGGCTAAAAGCCCAAACTTCATCCCAGCCTCCTTTCAGTAATTAACATGGAGCATAATCTCCTGGGAAGTTCTCATGTGCAGGACCCATTGCTTTGTGCAGGACCTGCAAAGGAGTTCTGCCGTGGCCTCCTCTCCAGTGAAGTTTGTGTCCAAGACTTTTCTGCCAGATTATGCCCCAGTGCTATCTTCTGCTTAGTTACCCAGACTCCAGTGATTGCATCACCTCACTTCATGTAGGGTTGGCTCTGTTCAGTTACCCTACTCTTGGCGTTAGCTGGTGTGTTGGGCCTCTTTTTCAAAATGGTGGCAGTTGACCCAGGATTCCATATAGCACCCGTGGCATTGGAACAGGTTGCTCTTTGTCCATGAGCAAGATAAGGAGCAAAAGATCTTGAGAGCCACATAATAATAATAATAATAATAATAATAATAATAATAATTTTTATTTATATCCCACCTTTAGACCAAATGTAGATCCTGAATAAACTCAGCCAGTAGCATTTGGGCAGCTTGAAATAGACCAGCTACAGTAAGGCCTCCCTGTTTTTTTTTTTTTTTTCTTATTGGCCTAGAAGAGCTAATCAAGGAGAATCACTTTTATATATTGTTTGCTGTTGATTTTCAGGGCTTACGGCTGTCTCTTAAAAAGCTTTTTAAGCGACCCAAGTGGTATAAGAAAAGGCAGCTTTCCAAAAAGCTCCTGCTGGTATGTCCCAAATGGGGAGTGTGCCAGGAATTGTGTGTGTGTTTACCTAGTGTGCTAACAGCCTTGTATATAATGCCCATTTGAAATACTAGGAGGTGAATGTGTGTGCACTCCTTGAGGAAATGTCCTTGGTTTGGAGTGCTGAATGAGCTCCTGTTGCAAAAATCAATGGGAAATCAGATTTGTAACTGGAGCTGTTCACACTGAAGTCAAAAGACTGCAAAACCAAGCAAGCTCAAGGTAAATTTAAGCTAATTTGCAGATTCATGCAGATATGTGTGTTCTGGTTTCACGCTTTGCTCTGCACTTCATGTTCAAGGGAGATTTTCATAGCTTAATGCTATGTGGGAGGTCACTGTGGAAATGTATATTCAGTATGTCTGCACTCTTACACCTCTGACACAATGTGCGTTTGAATGCACAATTGTCATTTACAAATCTTGGTGTGTTTGAAAAACAAACAAAAGCATAGCCAGTCCTGTAGAACACATAGCCTGTCTTGGGTGAAAGCTCAGAAGCTTGGCAGAGAACAAGACCTTGTAGAATGGCACTAGTCATGAAAGAAACATTGGAGGGACTACAGGAAATAGGACAGCCTTAATTGTATACCTTGATGAGATGTAAAGCCCTGCTGAAAGCTGATGTTCTGTGGTGTTGATGTGGATGCTACATTTCAGCATTGCTAAGAAGACTGATAGCCACTATTCTGAGCTTGTGCAGCATAGTGCAGGAGTCCTGTAAGCATCCTCCTGCATCCTACAGCTGATTAATCTCATGCATGCTGCATTGGCTTCGCAACTACAACTTTGTGTGTAAATCCAAATCAAGGATAGTTTTCCAGCAGTTAAGAATTCCAAGATGGCCCTTTGTTAGGAAGAGACTTTGAATTCTATATGCAAACTGTGGGGTTTCAATGCATAACAAGGTGAGATCATAGAATCATAGAGTTGGAAGAGACCACAAGTGCCATCCATTCCAACCCCCTGTCATGCAGGAAATCACAAAGCATCCCTAACAGATGGCCATCCAGCCTCTGTTTAAAGACCTCCAAGGAAGGAGACTCCACCACACTCTAATGTCAAACAGCTCTTACTGTCAGGAAGTTTCTCCTAATGTTGAGATGGAATCTCTATTCCTGAAGCTTGCATTGTTCCATGTTCTAGTCTCTGGAGCAGCAGAAAACAAGCTTGCTCCATCTTCCATGTGATACCCCTTCAAATACTTATACAGGGCTATCATATACCCCTTAACCATCTCTTCTCTGGCAGTTTCTGCATCTTTTTTGTAGGTCTGGGATGGAGAAAAATAGTTCTGTAGAATATGGTGATGCTCTTTTCATTGTGTGTGTCTCGGCACTGGCTCGGTCTTGTTCTTTTACAGCTGTTGCCAATTCCTGATTCTGTGCCCATCTCACCTGATGATGGGGAACATGCAGACATCTACAAACTCCGCATCCGGGTTCGTGGGAACTTGGAATGGGCCCCACCACGGCCACAGATCATCTTCAATGTCCATTCAGCACCAACGTAAGGGAACAGGCTCTTTCCAGACTGTAGCATTCATTCTCCTTTGCTAGAAGATGTTTGCTTGTGCCTTTGTCAGTTTTTGCCAACAGCAGCAAGTCTTAATTTCCCTTATATAAGAATTAAACATGATCTCCAAGATGCATTTAAGAGTGAAAGGATTATCTTATGTTGAGTTAGACCAAAGAGCCATCTAGCTGAGCATGGTTTATACCAGCTTTTCCCAGTCTGTGTCCTTTCAACAGGCTTGGACGACAACACCCACAATGTCAATTTCAAAGCTTTGGGTTTTGGGTGTCTAGGTTTTATGGTCTTGGATCTGTGGCTCTGACAGACACCGGCATGCATTCTCTCTCACTCTCTCTCACATCATGATTTTGTATCCTTATAGGAGGAAAGTGGCAGTGGCCAAGCAGAACTACCGCTGTGCAGGTTGTGGCATCCGAACAGACCCTGGTGAGTACTTGACTTGGCACATTCTGGAGGTCCTAACTGTGTCTGAAATGTCGGGGCCTTTGACTTGAACATGTATTATTTTAAGCCGACATTTCCCCATTCTAGTGTCTTCCAAACCTGTTGGATTGCAGTTCCTTCCAGTCATGTCCATCTTTGCCTAGGGATGGCGTAGGCTGTAGTTCAGCACATCTGGAAACTACAGTTTGTGGAAGGGTACCTGTGTACATGCATGCACACACACATTTTCTGACTGTAAGTGATTTGGTTTAAACAGAAAAGTGGAATAAAATTAATCAATTTATTTAAACATAATTCAGCTTGCAGACAAGTAATAACAGTACTGTACAGTCAGCCCTCTGTATCCAGATTCAACCATCCATGGCTTCAAAATATCAAAAATATATATAAATTCCAAAAAGTAAACCTTAATTTTGCCAAGGGACACCATTTTACTATGCTATTCTATTTATTGGGACTTGAGCATCCAGGGATTTTGGTATCCACAGGAGTCCGGAACTAAACCCCTTCGGATACCATGGACTACTGTATATTGGTTTTATATCCATTCACTTGTCTGTATGGAACTGGGCTTCTGAAATGGACACCTTGGGCACTGTCACTCTTGTTCTTGGCATGCTCTATGTGCAAGGCAAGCCTGCTTCTCATGCAAGAGGCTAAATATGCTATATTTGTTCTCTTGTCTCTCTTCCTCCTCTTGGGACTCTCAGATTATATCAAGCGCATGCGCTACTGCGAGTACCTTGGCAAATACTTCTGCCAGTGCTGTCATGAGAATACCCAGATGGTCATCCCTAGCCGCATCCTACGCAAGTGGGATTTCAGCAAGTATTACATCAGCAATTTCTCGAAAGACCTGCTAACCAAAATCTGGAATGACCCCCTTTTCAATGTGCAGGACATCAACACTGGCCTCTACCGTAAGGTCAAGCTACTCAACCAAGTCCGGGTAAGGCACTCCGCAGCTAGGCTATCCCTTACGACAAGGCAGGGAAAGTGTGGCCCATCAGTACACCCCAAGCCCTCCATACCTCTCCCTAAAATTTGATTTTTGAGTGGTCTTAATTCACCAAAGCAACCACAAAAGTCCATCAAAACATTTGGCAAAATATGGCCAAAAATAAAGCTAAAGCAAAACTGCTAGAAGTACTGCATGTACATGTATGTGACATTTCCAGTACTGTGTAACCATGCTATCTGTTGAATTGTGAAAACAGATTCCTTTATGGGGAGAGGTGTCTCTGTATATGCTTTCACAGATGCAACTATATGCTGTGGTCCACATAGCTGATCCTTCTAAAACAGATGGGCACCTGCATGGTGGGGAGAGGCTGATTTTAGCCCTCATGGCCTGTATCACAGTGTTCTGGAAGTAATGTCACTTCTAGTTGCCATTTTTAGCTGTTTTTTGGCTAGGGAGGTGAAGCCAAACTGTGTGTCTGTGCACTGGTTTGATGTGTTTGCAATCAGTTTTGGACTAACTAGAATTGATTTTTGAAAAAAATGTGGGAGGGGGTTCAGAGAACATTAGGCTTCGATGGCTGCAAAGATGAGGATTTGGAGCCTGCCCGTGGCCTGTGGGCCATACTCCTTTTCTTCTAAATTGATCAGTTATTAAAATAAACCTACCAACCTGATTATTTGTTTCCTTGGTGTTTTTTCTAGCTGTTGAGAATCCAACTGTATCACATGAAGAACATGTTCAAGACCTGCCGCCTTGCTAAAACGTAATTACTGTGTGAATGCTGGCAAGATAGTTGGGTTCTAGCTCTGCGGGGGTGGAGGTGTGAGTTGCCCCAAGAGAGTCAGAATGGCATAGTGGTTTTGAGTGTTGCACTACGACTCTGGAGACCAGGGTTCAATTCCCTTCCTTGGCCATTAAACCTACTAGGTGACCTTGGGCAAGTCACATGCTCTCAGCCTCAGAGGAAGGCAATGGCAAACCTCCTCTGAACAAATCTTGCCAAGAAAACCCATGATAGGGTCACCTTAGTGTTGCCATAAGTTGGAAACGACTTGATGACATACAACAACAACAGTTACCCAGAACATTTCATCCAAGGTGCAGCACACATCCCAAAGCCTCTAGGCCAGGGACCGGCAACCTACAGCCTGGGGGCCGGTTAAGGCCCCGGGCCCCGGACTTGCCGGCCCAGGCGGAAGGTTGTTGCCGCTGCCGCCGTGTTTTCGGCCGTGCTCGCTGCGGCCACCATTTTGGAAGTCAAAATGGTGGCCACGACGCGTTTGAGCATGCGCAGTACTCTTGTGCATGTGCAAACGCGTCGCAGCCGCAATTTGGACTACCAAAATAGCGCCCGCGACATGCACCGTGGCGGCGGCGGCCGTGCATGCTATGGCGGTGGCCGTAATAGCGGCTGCGGCGGCAGCGGGCGCGGGGGGTCGGGCGCGGCGGCGGGGGGTGCACGCACGCCGCCATCCCCCCCCCCCCGGCCCAGCCGAGACCTGGGCTACAGGAGACCGGCCCAGGTCTCCAAAAGGTTGCCTGTCCCTGCTCTAGGCCCTTGTCTTGCTTCATGAGGACATCCATTTCTGCCCTCCACCATCACCCAACAGAGTAAACACTCTTACATGTCACCATTTCCCCTATAAAACATGTAAAATATGCTCTTGTTGTCTTTTTTAAAGTTGCTTGTAGGCCCATTCCTAAATTTTGATCCAAGACAGCTGTTGAAATCCCTTCTCCATGATCCATTAGGACATAGGGGGTATTGTTGCCTCTATAGTTGTATATACTAATGTAAAACTATTAGTCAAGGACCTAATTTTACCGTGACAGCAGATTCCCAGAATGAGTTTGCCTGTTCAAATTGTCATGCACCATATATACGGTGGGTAATCTTAATACATTTCCTCCTCTTTCAGCTCTTTCGAATCTACCACCCTCAGTGCTGGTGTAGACCAGGACATGAACATTGTCATTCATGAAAAAGCCTTGGATTGGCTTTGGCCAGATGACACAGACCATCTAAGTCTGAACAGCTGGAAAAACAGACTCTAGTCAGTTGTTTGGACTAAACCCAGGCAATTGGCAGAAGTTATTTGATAAATAAAAACGAGCCATTAATGGAAAAAGGAACATCAGGGCATTGGGAAGATGGTTGGGTATGGGAAAGAGCTACTAAATATTATCTTAAATAGCGTTCACTTGCTATTATTCTGATTGCAGTATTCCTTGAAGATGAGGAAACAGTGCTTGACACAGAGTGGAAACTGCTTTTTCATGGTAATGAGTTCTGTGTTTGTCATTCTGTGTAGGCTTCTGGATGCCTTTGATGCTGTGCCAGGTCATTTGACAGAAGATCTCCACCTCTATTCCTTAAATGACCTGAGTGCCACCAAGAAAGGGGAGCTCCTTCCCCGCCTGGCAGAGCTCCTTAGGGCCGGAACCCTGCATGTTGAGAAATGCATGGTAGGTAATCTTACTCCTTCCCCCTCTTCTCATTTCTTTTATTTGTTTGGCTTCTGTTTTGCCAGTTGGTCAATTTTTAATGTAAAATTAAGCATGTTAAGAAAATCTGAGTTCTAGAAAGCACTTGGATTGTGCACAGGTTTATACATTTGTAGGGGAGGAATGTATGCCTCCTAAGATGCTTGCTCTTGACTTTTCCTAGTTGTGAAGTGACTTTAAAACAAATAAGATTGGAAGTCCTTTGGAAGCAACACTGGATTATCTATACAGCTGCTGCATATTTTGTTTATAGAAACTTCTGTAGACTCCATAAAAAAAGCACATCTATGCTGCCAGTTTAAAGCAAATTGAAACTAATGACAGCTCCACCTGCCAGGACTCTGAGAAAACACCCTGGGGAGGAGAAAGGGGCCCCCTAGCCTTTTGTTTTTGTTTGTGGGAAGTTTCTTGTTTTGAATTTTGACTTGAAATGGCAGTGCAACTTTATTGACATACTAAAATATTATATGCAAATTTTGAGGCAAATTGCCTGATGATTTATGGCTGCCACAGACAGACATTCCCAATGAGTAAGGGGAGTGAGAAATAACTGCTTTGTGTTTGCAGATGGTACTTGCACAAACCAGGGCGCTTAATTTTCAGCACTTTTCGCTAAAGCCCCCTTTACCCAAAAAGCTTCTCCTCAGAGCTGAAAAGGGTCTGCTCCAGAATAGTAGGGGATATAGTACAAAGGACTGCATTGGTTAGGAAGAATGAGCAGAAATCTTGGATTTTTCCTTGCATGAACAGAATTGTTTTCCACTATTGCAAAGTCACCATTGACTAGCCCTCAATATACCCCATATATAGCTGGGATCTTCACATATAGGACAGGATATAAATATTTTAATAAATAGAATAATAAAAGAGATATCATTCTCTATATCATTATATAGAGAATATAAAGCAGCTGTAGATGAGAGCCAGACAATCAAGAAAGAAGATAGGAGGAAGATCAACTCATTTGAGATGTGGTGCTGGAGAAGAGTGCTGAGGACAGCCAAAAGGACAAACGACAGATCAAGCCAGAGATATCCTAGAAGCCAAGATGACAAAACTTAGACTATCATATATTGGACACATCATGAGAAGGCGTGAATCGTTGGAAAAGACAATAATGTTAGGAAAGGTGGAGAGAAGTAGAAAGAGAGTAAGGCCACATGCTAGAGGGATGGACTTTATTAAAGAGACCACTAATATGACTTTGCAGGAGCTAGGCAGAGCAGTAGAGGACGGGGGGCCTAGAGAGATCTCATCCATAGGGTTGCCATGGGTCGAGATTGACGTGAAGGCAGTTACCAACAACAAAAATGTCAGATCAGAACTGTTATTTCTGCATTATGTGTAGCTGAAGTTAAGAGATTTCCCAGTGGGATTCAGACTGGAGAATTTTATTTGCAGCTTAGCTATCCGATTTTGCTTCCCCCCCCCCCCACTTTCCCCTCATTATCTCTTTTGTATTGTGTTCATTATTGTGACTGTAATGCCATCTTAGAGGCTGTTGTCTTAAAACTTTGTGCAAGAATTCTAAAAGTTTAGGTGCTTCATAAATAATTGAAAGAAAATGCAATGATACTAGGAAATAAAGAGTCTTATCAGGAACCCCTGGCTTCCTCTATGTGATGACAGTTTACTGAGTTTCTTAGTTGGAAACCTCCATGTTGTTTAAACTGAAGGTTTGGTGAGTTGGGGCTCGGGCTTGGTAGCTATTTGCTGAAGAGTTAAGGAGGCAGGGTGGGCTCAGGGAGACAAGAGGAAATAGAGGGATCTCCCATTAGACCAAGGGATAGGTGGGATGTGCACTTTGGTTAATAGAAGATGGGCTGATTAAAAGCAAGTGCCTTTCTTTTGGCATTAGGCCTCGTTTTCTCATTTTCTGCAAAGGCTTTTCGTAGATCATTTCCTCTGCCATATCACATAGGTTTAACTTCATTGGAAGACACCATCAGCTATATGTATTTCATACAACATGTAGGAAAATGATTGTGTGACAGAATAATACCCAACCTCATTGCCTCCCACCAGGCTCAGTTAGAAGTCAGCTTTGCCCTTACAGTACCTTTTGAAGTCAAGGAAGGGAGAACATGCAAAACACCACTGAACCATCCAACTCAAGAAATCTTCAAACTGCACAGATCACTTGGGAGCTGGCTATATGTCCCCCCCTTCCCCACTTTTCTTGACCAGAAACGATGATGAGGGGGGGGGGAAAAAGTAGGGCTGTGATCTCTGCACAGAAGTAACAACATGGTCCCTTTGCTCCTTCTCTGTTGAGATGCCGAGCAGGAAATGTGGGAACCAGCTTGCACTAATAGAAATGTCAAAGAGAGGGAGTTTCCTTAAGCCAACCATGGGCCAAACAGAGGACCTCTATAGGCTAGGTTAGGCCTGGAGGGCCAAAGTTTGCCATACTGGTTTAAGGGACCAGAAGTGAAACATCGGGCCTTTGCAGATTGCCAGAAATAGTGCAAATTGGGTCCACTTTAAGGGTTAGGGTTAGTGCTAGGGAATAATGGGAATTTCTTTTTTCTAAGACATTGAGCCTTCTCTGTCAGAGAGCTCTGGTGCCACAATAAAATACAGTTCCCATGATTCCCTAACTCTAACCCTTAAAGTGGACTCAATTTGCACTATTCCTGGCAGTCTGCAAAGGTCCATAGATGGGTTTGCAGGTTCTGCTATACTTTTCATCTTCACTCTCTTCTGTTTCTCTTTTTCCCCCCAGCTGTGCCAGGCTAAGGGCTTCATCTGTGAGTTCTGCCAGAACGAGGAGGACATCATCTTTCCCTTTGAGCTGATTAAGTGCAGGACTTGTGAAGGTAGGCAAGCAAACAGGAGCCATGTTCACCAGTTTGGTTCCTGGGGATCTGGGAATAGTAATATCTCCAGTCCATATTTTCGATTTTGAGGAAAAGGAGTGGGTTTCATTTAAACAACTGTGTTGCATTTGGGTAATATCTACTCCATAACTAACTTGGAGGTGACCACTTTTATTTCCTACATACAAATGTCATTGCTTGTTCCAGAAAATCTCAGGAATTGTGGCAGGAGAATATTTAGAGTTCCATTAGTGAATCCCTCTTTTTCTCCTCAAAGAACCACAGTTTGTAGTATTCACTTTGGTTGGGGGCGGGGGAGAATGACCATTAAAACCAGCTTAATTCTAATGTAGATGTGTGCTAGCGCCTGACCTTCATTCCTTGTTAAGGACTGCATAGCATTTGTTAAAACACTTTGCTTACTCTACATGGGGACATTGCACAGGCCAAGAAGATATTTTGCTGCATTGCAGAATATGCTGAAGTGTTGCCCTCAGATTGCAGAAACATCTTTTGTAAGAAATGATCCTAGGATAGTTTGAGCATGTGTTGTTTCCTCAGTGCCCCTAGAGTGTGGATGGGTTGGGAG